TATTAACCCCGAGGTCGATGTCCTTCACACGTTCAGTGAGTTCACAGTCCTGTATTCCACACCATCGGATAGCCCATCCAGTCTTAGATTACCCACGACCGGTAACCACGCAACCACAGGACCACAATCCCTAGTATAGTGGACACACCGAAATACAAAACCAGTTTTGTAAACAAACAAAGTGTACACCGTAACGTACATTAGTTATTAAAAAGACTAAATTAAATTATTTTGATTATTATCATTATTAGAAGCCTTTTTTTTTTTATGTGTGTAAAAGAACCCCACGAAACCCCGACCACGAACCTGGACTTAGGACCCTACCACGAAGTCGTGGGGGGAAATCGGAGGGCGACCGCGGCGGCGACGGCCGAGGCGTGAGTTTTGAGACGTCATAACGTCATTCCCTCAACATCCCGGAAGTGTTCTTGCGGCGACATCAAAAACGCCAAGCAACGACAAGAAAATCAACAGTATCGGAAATCACCGCTAGACAAGATAGACAGTATGACATAGTAATATTATTGCGGATAACAAGAAACAAGCTTCAACAACAGAATAAATGGTTAGCATCTGGTGCTAGCTAGCCAAGCTAACGGATATAAGGAGCTTTTTCAACAACAAGGTGGAGGGAGAACTCTCTCCTGTCAGACTGAGAGTCTCAGATAACCTCAGCTCAGGTGAAGTAAAGGACTCTCAGTGTTTAGATAGTTAACTTTAGTCTAGTTATCTCAGTGGGTCTCAAACGGTTTGTTTTAAAAGGGGAGTGATTTGTAAAATATCTATAAAGAAATAGAAAATCTGTTTACAGTTCTGTTTCATATGTATGTTGAGAGATGTATCCATAGATCTCTTCATTTTGCTCTCAAAGTGCACCAGATTGATGCCTTTAACTTCAATATTTAAAAAAAAAATCTTCCCAGACCCCACTAGAGGAGGTGAGGACCCTCCTAGAGGAGGTGAGGTTCCACTCCCCACTTGTAAAAATAGCACTTTACCCCTGCTTACACCTATATGCCGTGAGCTGATTACCGAGCCTTCATTGTAACAGTCGCAGGTACACTGTGTGTGCGTGTGGGGAGTGTTGCAGTAGAAAATTCAACTGTAGCGCTGGTGCATTAATGGGAAACCATTTTTGACCATGTTTGAGCACCCTCTATGAAACGTCAAGCTACCCCACAGCACCCCCTAGAGAAAATCTCTGGCGCCGCCACTGCAGCCTGGTAGTGTGTGCACCCTGGTAAAAATCATTTTGGCAGGGCCTGAGTTCAAATCTGAATTGTGCATGTTGTCCCCTCTCTATCCCCCTTCCTGTATTTATGTTTCCTGCTATATCCAATAAAAAAAGTCCTTTTCTTTTTTTAAAGAGCAAGATATTGTGGACTTAAAGAAGAAAAATATTATTAATTATTCCTGAAGGCTCCAATACCTTGGACCAGCTTGGTATATTTATTAAACCCTCTTGTGTTCAGTTTTTTTTTTGTATTCCTTAAAACGATAAATAAAAAGTATTTTTAGTTTGCCATCACAAAAATCATAGTCATAGTATGTTATAGAAAATAGTCAAATTAAAACCTGCAGCTGCCAGGGTTCTGTACCATAAAAATAAAGGCACATATAACTGACAGTTTGTAATGAACTGCCTGTTATAGGTGGTGAAAATGTAGTGAACATGTTGTATAGGAATAGTTAATCAAATGTGTTACAGGTTAAATTATTTATTAAAATCAAGCCACATCATTCACTTCTGCTTACATTTTTACAACATAAAAGCAAAACCCAATGTCAGATGGAGACATGAAATGATATTCATATTTTATTAAAATATTAGAATTTGTACATATTGTCTTCTCCATCCTCATTTCATTTATAATCTTATTACATAAATATACTCCAAAAAGTAGGATAACAAAAAACAAATTTAATATAAAACAAATTCAGAAACAATAGCAATACCTGACTCTGGGACAGAATTCGAGGAATGTAATTCTTTTTTTACATAACAAAGGTCACGCAACATGGCGGGGTTATCTAATTTCCAAAAAAGGGGTAACAAAAGTACATATAACAAGAGAATCAAGTTCATCCAATACATGTGTTCATTACTCTTGGCTTTGACAAGTCCTATTCTTCATGTCAAATCAAATCAAAAATGTTGGAAAATGAAGTTGGTCATTGTGGCTTTGGTTATACGATAAACATTAAGGTTAGCACACAACTCATGAGTTCCCTTAAGGACAAAATTATACCAAACGGAAGAAGAAAAATAAAATCCACCTCTTTTCAATATCTTTTCCCCAACAACTAAGTAGCTACATATTTTTCATTGCCCATAAATAACCTTATGATCACTAAATTGATCTGCAATCAGAGAAACCTTCACACACATGCAAAAATAAATACACTGCATGGCCCTTCTCATGCAAGCCTAATATTCAAAGTCCTATCATCAGCTCTCACATGTGAACAGTTGGTGGTTTTATCAGGAGAGAAAATCACTTTGAAACAACTCTGTTTTGGGGGAATTCTCCAAACAATAAAGGACTCATTTGTCATGTGAAAAGTGAGATTATTTGAACGTTGACATGGCAATAAGTTAGCGTTGCAGTGCGTTAAGACTGGCCATTGTTGAGCATCCATGATGTCAGGCAGCAGAGGTGGCACCAATGATAAACATGCAGACACTTACACTAAATCAAAATGAATCTTAACAATCCATAAACCAGATGAACAATCAGGAACCTCAGCTGAAGGGAAACCAACATAAAACAATCAACCATACGTACTATCACGCAGTGAAGTCCAAATAAAAGTAGGAACAAAAATCTTTCATATAGAAAATTAAATAGTATGCATGTTGACCTATAGATAATAGAAATAAACAATTGCACCAGAAATATGTGCTTTAAAATCTGAGCAGGTCCCCACATGTAAACCTCATATCAGACTTCATGTAAAAAAAAGGAAAATAAAACAACCCTGTGATCATGTGGCTAGCAAATCAGATGTTTGGAAAATCAGATCGCAGCATACGCTGCTCTTCAACCATCCTTATCATTAAGTTATCATTTTTGACAGAACAGAAGAGGGTGTGGTGTTTTTTCAGCAGTGGTAAAGTGAGAGAGGATAAAGGAAGCTGCAGACGTGAGAACATCGCACCGCCTCCTCGCAGGTCCCTGATCCGAGAGAAGGGTGCTGCTGACGAGGTGGAGGTGGGTGGACAGAGAGGGAAGTCAATGTTCTTGAAAAGGGACAAAAGGTATCCTGTGTTTCTTAAATCTTTTCATCCCAGTTACAGAGAGACACTGTCCTGTGTTAATAGCCGTCTTTCTGAGTTTGAATCTGATCCTGGATCTTCTCCAGCATCTCCTGCATCTGCCGCAACTGTGAGGAGAGAAGAGACAACAGTTAGTGCCGAGTCATCTACTGTTGCATTCATGGCGATGGGAAATCTGGGTATCCAGCCTTTTATACAGGCTCATTATGTACACGTGACTGCACAGGCAACTAATCAATAACACCCGGGAAATCAGACTTTCTAGATCACGTGACCTGAACAACCGCAGTGAGCCGCTGATAACTTCAAGAATTCAATATTACAGAAGCAGCAAAACATTATTTTACCTCGTTCATCATGCTGAACTGTTTGGTTTTAAAGGCATTAAAAGAATCTGAAGAACTGATCTGAAGTTTTTGGGAATCCAGTTAAACTGTGGCACAAACAGTTTTGTGGTGTGATTTTTTGTGGTTGTTGTTGATTATGTGCCCAATACAGCACCCAAATACAAAACATTTCACTTCTCGATTTTCCCAACATAAAGTGAGATTGCGAAGTCTCAGTTATTTTTGATTAATGGATGAATGGCCCAATTCACTGATATTGAAATCAATTGATAATAAGTTGCTCAGGAAACAGTAAGAAATGACCCATCACTGTTGCCTACAGCCCACTCTGACTTCACAAATGTCTTGTTGTCTGAACAATAGCTTTTGTGCTTGGAAAATGACTGAAACTGAAATTGAGGAAAAATGTTCTCTTTATTTGATAAAATTAATGGATTTTGTGGGGAAAGGGAAGGAACTGGAAACAAAAAGTCTGTGTTTGATCAAAATGAAAACTAACTGTATGTCTACTCATCTTCAGATACCGCAAAAGGAAAAATATATGAGCCTAAAATCTATAATTATATTTACTTTAATGATATTTACTCTAACAATATGTTTACTAACCAAATGCCAAAAGAAACAATGTATATCATATTTCAAACGCATTGTATTTAGCTCTTGGGGACAACAAATGATTGTTGAAATGTAAGTGCCTAGTTCCACTAATATTTTTAGATTTCCGCTCTGTCTGAAGAACTTTCCATGGAACAAGTTTGAACTAAAAGGGATAAAAGCTGACTTTTAAAATGGGATTATGAACGATTCTCTTTCCCTACCCACAGACAGTTCAAAGGGCCAAAGGAGAGGGGAGAAGGGGTTTGAATTTACACTAATCCATGTTTTCCAGGCTACTCATTGTCAACCTCAGAAAACATGACCTGAGTGTGCTTCCAATAATTCTTATATATGAACATTATCTGTGAGAACTCTCAGAGGGCTTCATCAGAGATATCTCTGTGCTCTGCGTGTGTCCCAGCGCTGGGCTGAGGCTCTGAGTGCTCATGGCGGTGTTCAGACTTGTGTTGGTGCTGTGAGTCCTTCTGGCGCTCAGCGCGCCGTACCTCCTCGTCTTTCTCTCGGATGAGCTTTTCTGTCTCATCGTCCACTCCGGGCACCGTAGGGATGGGGAAGTCCGTGCCGCTCTCTCTGGTGAGTTTACTGCGGAGAGAAACACGTTACAGAGAAATTCTACATTTATTGTATCACAAAGCTGCATCTGGATCTGATATGTCATTGGCTAGTCATAGAGAAAGAGGGATTTAACTGCATATCTGTAAAAGACACTGAGCATGGAAGCTGTTTGGCAGCAGATACACGTCACGTCTTTCTGTGTAGAGTCTATCAATGTCATGGTGCCCAAAAGTAAATGTCCTATTCCAAACTATCAAAGCCGACACCAGGTAAAGAGCAGCTGTGGCTGATCTTATCACAATCATAATCAAACTTATCTAAACAGTACCTCCCATGGTTTTATTTAAATCTACCTCTGGCACTCAGTAATTAGTTGCCCTTTACCAAATGCATTTGACAGAGCTAATTTACACTTTACAGCAAAAATGTGTTGACAGACATGGTTATTACATATGAATATGTATACCACACATATAAGGAAGTATCTGGTGAAATCGTTTTTGAATCTCAAGGATTTCAAACTAAGTATTGCTATCTATCCCTGAAGGAAGTAACCAAATGGTTATTGAGCCTACACTGAAACAAATGACCTGTTGACGTTAGTTACATTTGTTATATCAACAGATTCCACATAATTTTTGAGCTGTAATATTACGTTTAAATAAAACAATATTAGGTTCAACTTTATAGTATTGCTTTCAATTGACCTAATTCAATTATGTGTAATCTGTTGACATAATACATTCAATTAAAGTCAACTTTTCAGTTTTTTCAGTGTAAGGTCCACTGATGAAATTATTACTGTATTTACATATTTGCATATTAAAAACTGGCTGTATATAGACACGTTATCAACATGTATCAACACAAATACTTAAAGTTGGGGGGAAACCAGTTTACCAAATGTATAATCATTCTCCAATTTATTTTCTGTGATTCCATTTCTTCAGGGTTTTCACCGAGTATGTGTTTTAATTCTCTTTGAGGACTTCATGACTGAGGTGGGGATTATTACTGGATGCCCTGTTGGTGATTTGTATTGACTGTATGCCTATCTTTCTTCCTTGGATTAATATGAACATAAATTGACACAAGACTAGCTTCTGATAAAATGTGAGCTGTATTACCGCTGTTGAAATGTCTGCTCAGTTCTCCTGTTCATTTCTGTTCCACTATAACAAAAAGTACAAAAATAGTGTATTAAAATAAGAGAAAGACATTTAGAGGAATCAGGATATTAGTGACCTAGTTTACATACATCTAAGGTTAAAAGGTTAGAGGTAATGTTAATACAGGAGCAATCAAAAAACAATCAATTCAAAAAACAACTTTTACAGATTATTTACTGATTTCTCCTGAAACTGATCCTGAATAGTTTATTATTCTGATATTAAAATGTCTCATATTTCTTCTTCACTTGATGCAGTATGTACAGGTGTGTGTGCTCGCTTCTGTGTGAGCGTACTTGCGGTTGCGCTCCTTGACCACCATGCGGGTCATGCTCTGGATGCAGTGAGCTCTGTAGTTTTCGTAGTGAGTCTCCCGGGTCACGTCCTTCAGATCCTGCATGTGCGTACGGACGAGCATATTCCTCAGCTTCACAAAGTCACAGTGGGCCGAGTTCTCCACTGCAAAACAAAGAGGGAGGACCAATTCGAAAAATATTCTGAAAAAGTCTGCTGGTACTGAAACATGCAAGAGGTGAAAACACACACAGCACTTTCTCTTTGTACATCAATGAAACCTCCATGCAGCGTTTTTACAGGCTGTTTAACTTCTGTTACTACGAATCCATTACATTGTGATGGAAAACAAGGGAACAGGTTTACCCTCTACGATGCCCCAGGGATAGAGTCGGCCTCGCACCCTCTTCCCTTTGGCCTCCACCACCGTGTTGCTGCCGATCACTGCGAAGGGGATGCTTTCCTGGTTGGGAGAACAGAGAAGGACCGTGACATCAAAACGACATTTACAAAAGATCTGTTTGGGGAGGGTGTAGATGAGTTAAGGCTGGACCAGTGAGTGGTGCAGGACAGATGTTTTTTATTGTTGTGTTTTTACCTTTACACATTAGCCTCCTATAAGCCATCTTACATTAACTGCTTACTTCTGAGGACTCTCAAATGAAACTACATTACGTTTTTACGTCAAATTAACCATCATTTCCCATTCATTATTTTGATTATTTTATCTTTTGTTCCCTTTTGTCATTTCTCTGCTGCAGTTAACACATCAGAAGAAAGAGAGAAATACTGCCTCGCTGCGAGCTAATGATGCGAGGAGAGCAACAAACGTAAGTCCTGGAGAGTGTGTGTTCAGCAGGGGGACTGACTGCCTTGTTTTATATGGTCTGGTTTGTATTTTCTTTTAACATCATAACATTATAATAACTGGGTAGTCGTTGGGGCTGCAGTACTTGATAGAAAAAACCTAACGATCCCAAATGATACCCACATGTTCAAAGATCATGACTCGCGTATGCGTGCACGGTTGTGGCATGACCACCAAAACAGAAATATATGCACACAAGATGTGTGCAATTTAGTTTCCTATCCATGTGAACATGATTTAAAGTGTGTGTGGGGGGGGGGGGAGGGCACCTAACCTCCTCTAGGTGGGTATGGGGGCATGCTCCCCCGGGAAGATTGTTTTTTAAATGTTGAAGTTAAAACCATCAATCTTGTGCACTTTGAGAGCAACATTAAGAGATCTATGGATACATCTCTCAACACCCATATGAAACAGAACTGTAAGGAGATTTATTTTTCTTTATGGATATTTTACAAATCACTCCCCTTTCAAACTGTATTCTTGTTTATTAATAACAACTTTTTTTACTGTCATATAGTATTTTATACCCGTTTACTTTGTTCTCTTATTTTTTGTATAACTATAATGATCATATAAAGATGTGCCTTTACCTCAATGGTTGTAGAAAAAGCTTCTTATATTCGTTAGCATAGCTAGCTAACCAGATGCTAATAACAACAAAGTTATTGACTGTATGATCAGTATGACAGATGGACAGATCGCCACTGGGCTCACAACTAAAGACAAAGCCACGCAAAAACTGCTGCATGCTCCTTATCTGAAGTGCCGGAGCCGTGCTCTCCGTCAGAACTGCACGAGACCATGAACGAGACATATACCACGTGATGACACGTTCGGCTCGTGTTGTGTTCAAGGACCCTGATCTTGGCCAGGAAAAACAGGCTCTCGCTTGTTTAATTCTTTTGCGGTCTAGATTTCTTTTTTGCGTGTATTTATAAATTACCTCGAGGGCCGTTACAAATTGTCTTCGCGCGGCCCGTATACGGCCCGGGGGCCGGAGGTTCCCCAACCCCTGCATTAGACAAAGCAAACTAGTATTCTCTCAGTTTATTATCATGAAAAACAAAAGCTCCTAAAAATGAAAATCCCTGTCAAATAAGAATACAAATGTATGATGGTATACTTGCTATCAGGTTTGCTAATCATCTTGTTTACTGACTGATAAGTGTAAGCATTCAGTGTGCACTGCTGACCTTAAGCAGCCTGTGGAATCCCAAACATCTGGCAGCTCGGCTTCTCACCTTCAGCTGAATGGCTGCTGCTTGAAGTCTCGTCCCTCGTCAGAGTCAACAGTCGGGGAACTGGTAGATCTTGATGCCGGGACTGCTCGATCTCCTCTCGGATCTACGGGGAGCAGTAGATGGAGAAAAGGACACAGTGAAAATGGGAAAGACGTTTTCATTCATGGGATCAAATAGATCAACAGGGTTTCCAGATCGATCTGAAAGATTCAGCCTTGCCTTGAATTTCTTTTCTTGACCTCATTAGGGGTGAGTGTGTCTGCTTTTGCCAGGAATGCGGCGGAACGATGTTAACTTTCTCATGTAGAGCTTTCATATAAACTCCACATCCAAAGGCCTGAGGCTAAAAGAGACAAGAACATCAATAGCAATGAAAGCCACAATGAGGATTTACTCAAAAGAAATGCATAGATTTGTACAGAGAATAATCCTCTCAAATCATCACTGATGACCCAGCAGAAGTGTGTGGTGTGTCTGACATCTGCCCTCTATAGGGCTGCTCAATTAGTGTATTTTAAATCGCGATACGATTATGGCTTGCAACGATACGAAAAAACGTAATCGAAAATAAAACAATATTCTTTTATTATTAATTTACTTAATTTTTTAAATACTTTATTTTTTTTGGTTTTCAGTTGAATTATACTTAAATTTCAGGGTAATAACTGTTTAAAAACATACTGTCAACATCTGTTTTCCTCCAAAAATGGATGTTTTCAAAGTCAATGAATAATCACATTTATTAAGTCGCATTACAATTATTGACCAAATTAATCGAGATATGATTTTGCCATAATCGAGCAGCCCTACCCTCATATAGCATCATTAAATAATGTAATGTTCATCGCAGACTTTAGTTGCACACTAGAAATCATAAAATGTACTGTTAGACATTACGCGATGTCTCTGGTCCGGTCAACTGCGGTGGAGGTTGGCTCCTCAGTGACCTCTCTGGTGTCTGATCAATCAGTATGACTGAAGCCATCAACAGATGGAGCAGTTACTCATCACAGGAGCTCCTGAGCATGCACGCAGCATTACTTAGTTGGCAAGAATATTTGTTCTTTATGAGCACATGTTACTGTGGAAAGTGCATGTGCACAACGCGCAGCAAAAAGCACCAAAGTCAGCACCAGGATTGATTAGAGCTAAAAGGGCACTGCAGTGGACGCAGCTAAATCCGCCCTGAAGGCAGCTGAGTAGTGGCTTTAGCCTCTGCAGGAGCACTGCTTTTACAAATAATGGGCTGAAAGCATTGAGTTAAATACTGGGTCCAGTATGATACAATTACTCAGGTTGGTGTGCTTCTGGTGTGGTGCAGGGGAAAAGTGGCTGTGTCACTGGTGCTGCAAAGGGCAGCAGCACGAGCATTACTCCGCAAGTCGAGGGAGGGCGGTTAATGTCCCAAATTGTTCGAAGTCCATTTAAGGAAACGAGAGGTTAGACCTAAATCCTAATGAGAGCACCTGACGGATTTGTCATACGCGCAGATCAGGACCGAAAGGGTGAGATAAAGTAAGAGCAGCAGTGTTACGCCGGTTGTCTGGATAGTTGCTTCCGGTTGAGGGCCACTCTCGTCGCATCTGAAAGTAGCTGCTCAAACTGCTGGTCGATGTAGTCGCCACGGACTTTCCAGCTAGAGATAAAAGCACAGCAGGGAAACATTCAGCTCTGCCGAGGCAATACTGCAACAGCTGCAGCACTGCACATCCGCAGAACAACAGGGCTACCCTGGCGGGTGTTCTGGTGAACTCTATGCAAACTTGCTCATTTTCTAGATATCAGATGATTTCGTTAAAACATTATTAAGTACGCCATCATCCAGTGTTGTTTACAGCATGCCCGCCAAAACCCGGTGGTGTCGACCGATGGGAGCTTCATTGTTTGACCACTTTCTTTCTAAATAATCCACGTGTGTGTTTGGCTGATTTCTACCTGTTTGTGTTACTTCGCCAAAAAACTGGCCAATAAGGAGAAAAAAAAATACACATTTTTTAACATTTTAAGCTTTGACACCGTTGAAGTGCCTAATTCTTCAGAAATCATGTCAGAAAGTGAGTATATCCAAAAGGCTGTGGGTTGCAATTACGGCCCTCAGCATTGAGCAGGGGCTTCCTATGCTTTGTAAAAGGAATCTGTGAGAAAGAGCTGTTGGCGCAAGGGCTGGCTTTCCCAGGCCAGACTCCCCTCTCAAAAACAAAGAACAAACAAAGACGAAAACCAGAGCGAGTTAAGGGCTTTTCTTCAAAGTAAAAGGTGGCCTTTAGGCCTGCAAATAGCATGCTAATCTGCAAACAGAAAGGAATTTACATGCCACCATGAGCCGTGAAAGTCGAACCCCTTCTTTAGCTGACCTTACGGTGCACCCCGCCTGTTTGGCAGGCCGTCGCAAAAGCCGCACGTATTCCTTGTCCTCGGTCCTAAAAAAACAAATTGAAGCACCACCATCAGGAAGCAAAACTACATAAACCTATAAATGCTTATCAGCGCCAATTTGAACTCTCCAAAAAATAGGTTTTAAGGTATATTTCCCTAGCAAAAGGTGTGAGAAACCGGAATAAAACAAACATAACACAAAATCAGCAGACGAGCCTCAATCACACTTTTCAAAAAAAAAACCTGTTCCACCAGAAAGGAAAATATGCCACAAATTAAACCTTTTGATAACAACATAAAGCAACTTGAAATTAAGGGCAAGGATCAGATCAAAAGGCTGTCGCATCAAGTCTGAAAAGTGATGCGACACCCAAACAAACATCGCGTTGACAGCAGANATGACAGAGAAGAGCCTGTCAAGTTTGGCTGTACTCAGCATTGAATCAAAACGCACCATAGCTTTAAATCTTAATAAATTTGTGAGGCGTTTTGCTGATCAAGATTGTAATCGCCACATTCAGCTGTAATAGGCATGCAAACTTGATGCTCTGCTCACGGATGAGTCGATGAGAATAATAAACTGTTAAGATGATGACCTTACGTGTGTATAATATTGTTCTTCTTTGTGGGGGTCTGACCCCAAAAAACAGTTTGAAGTCCAGCGAAAGTCAAATAAGACGGTGTGTAAAACTTCACTGCCCAGCCCAAAAAATTCCACTGGATAATAACTGCAGCGATGTATGTTTTAGCTGAATACACGTTTTTTAACCCTAACTGATGCAGTTAGTCACTTCTTTAATGTTTGTTCTTTCTGATGTAAAGTCAAGGTTGTAACTGTTTGCAATGAAGTTGTGGGGCGCTGAACTGTTCTTTTGATTCTTTTGATTTATGATAGTAATTACTTGTCTTTCAAATTTGAAGGAGGGTGAGCAAGCATCTTGAGGAACATTCATCATTAACTCCTCCAAAAACTATAGTTTATTTAATAATAACACTGAATATGAGAATCATAAAAGGGATTGACAGCTGATAGGATAGGATATGATTGTTAATATTATCATATTCATACAGACAAACCTCGATGAGACAGTTAATTAATGTACTTATTGCAGCAGTCTGCATAGATTTGGTACCCCTGCTGGTCTAAGAGTGAAACCAACTCATTCAGTTAAAATTCATTAAATTATGTCTGCCACCTTATATATTTATATTTAAGGCTTTATTGATGTGCCACAATAATGTCACCTAATGTTATTGAGTTAAAATATCAATATTGTGGCTTTCCAAGTTAACATTGATTGATATTGATATTGATATTAAATCAGCATATACTTCTGCCAGGGGATGCTACCCCTCAAATTCTCCTGCCACCCTCTTGCCACCCCATGGATATTTTTCTAGATCCGCCCCTGCTCCAGGATAAAACTTTGACTTTCAACTCCATACTGTAGCTATATTTCGAAACTATAATTTACAATTGTACATCTGGACTTCATCCTTATGTACTTATGGACCTTCTGGATAAGGCTCACACACAGTTTTTACCCAAACTTGACCTGAGTCTGTGGCTCTCCTTATCTAAATGTGTCATGACAGAAAGCAACAGACAGTTAATTTTCTAACCTATATTTTCCAACTTGATGCCAGTAAGTGAACTTGACAGGTACCTCTGGAGTTACCTCCCACAGCAACACACCACACATGCATTCAGCCTATACTATACATACCTATGGAGGCCAGGTGCTGAAAGGAAAGAAAAGTCCTGGCAGGTCTCGACAAAATTCATAGTGTTGTAAAGTAGGTTTAACCACACACCTCCAGATTGCATTTTTGCCGGAACAACCACTAATAATAAGAACGAGTTGTCAGGATCCTTCCTTTAATTTGGTCTCTACAGTGAGGATAAGGATGAAATGACAAAGCTTATAAATGTCACTCCTTAATAATTTAGATAACTAGTGATACTACAATTAGGCCATAAAGAATGGGGAATTATGATGTAATTAGATTTTCCCTGGCAGGAGGTGTATCAATCATAACATTTATAAAGCTGTGTTAAATCTAATTCATTAAAGCAACTGCTATGAGATTAAGATTAAGGGATTCTGAAAATGTATTGTATCTGTGTAACCTCACATATTTTTTCTGGAATAAGATACTTTTCTCCAATGAAGTGTAACCCATCTTCTTGACATCCTCGTAATCACTTCATTATCTGCTTTCCCTCCTGGTGCCTGCCGTCGATGGGCCTACATGCCCCGAAGGATGCTGATCTGTTTGAGAACATGCTGATAATCTCAAGAAAGATACAGGAAGGAGTCACAACCCCGGAGCTGAGCTATCACCAGAGCGAGAGAGAGAAATGCAATTTCAGCTGCTCTTAAAGGATTTATCGGATATATTAGAAACATGATCATGTAAATATGGCACCAGGATTAGTGTTATTCACTACTTACAAAACCCTGAGGAAATAAATACAGCATTTGATTAACTTGAATGCAAGTTATACAATGAAAATGAGACTAAGCTTAGTATAAGTTATTTTCTTTTTTGAATAGATAGATAAATGCTATCCAAGAATACAGACTTTCCATAGTTTTTCCTGGACCACTGCCAGCTTGAATAGAGTGATTATGAATTATTCTTCAAAAGACAGGATGTGAGAGAAAGAAAAAAAGTAAGATGTCTCGTGAAAAAGTAACAACCTTTCCATGCCATTACTGGGCTATAATTCAACACACTGTGATGGAGTTTAATGTATGGGTTAAAGCATTTTATGATTCAGATTTCTTTTCAATTCAACTGCCTGTAATCACGTAATCAAACAAGGAGAGTTAGAAAAGTGTTGATTATAAATTCTAACGTACCTTCAGTGTCTCCCTCCAGGTCCTGAGGCTGGTAGTTGAGGAGGGTTTGGGGTTGTCTTCGGGGCTGCTCTTCATCCTCCCTCATCCTGACTGGC